TAGATAGCATATTAAAAAACAGACATTACTTTGTCAGCAAAGTTCCGTCTAGTCAAAGCTATTGTTTTTCCAGTAGTCATGTATGGATGTGAGAGTTGGGCTACAAAGAAAGCTGAGCGCCGAAGAATTGATGCTTTTGAACGGTGGTGTTGGAGAAGACTCTTGAGAGTTCCTTGGACTGCAAGGAGATCCAACCAATCCATCCTAAAGGATATCAGTCCTGAATATTCATTGGAAAGACTGATGTTGAAGCTGAAACTGCAATACTTTGGCCACCTGATGCAAAGAACTGACTCATTTGAAAAGACCCTGATGCTGGGAAACATTGAAAGCAGGAGGAGAAGGGGACAACAGAGGATGAGATGGTTGGATGGCATCACCGACTCAATGGACATGAGTTTGAGTAAACTCCGGGAGTTGGTGATGGACAGGGAGGCCTGGTGTGCTGCAGTCCATGGGGCTGCAAGAGTCGGACATGACTGAGCAACTGAACTGAACTGAACTAAATGGGCCTAATATCAGCTCCTCTGTTACATGCTGTCGCCAGGGTTGAGTGAAATAATGTATGCAGAACATGGAGCACAGTTCCTGGGGTAGAGCTAGCACCCAGGAAATGCTGGCAATTGTGGTTGCTGTTATCGCCGTCATCATCACTATCTGGGGTAACATCTTTCCAGGTTCCAGTTTCAACCTAATCTATTACTTCAGCCTGATATAAAAAAATGAAACACTTTCAAGGTTGAGTTGTTTGTGTTTTAGCTTCTTCAGGAGGTGTGGTTGGGAAAGCCTTGGACTCCAGTACCACCTTGGATATCTCTGGTTCAGGATGATGGCCCAGATGGGGATGAAACTGTGGGGCATGTGTGTTCTCGATGTTTGCTAAGTGGGAACTTTTCCCAGCCTCTATACCTGTGAGGTTTTCTCACTGTGACTGATCCTTTTGGTTTATCGGCCTCACTCTTTCCATCTTTCTTTCTCCCACCTTCTGTTCTTCCTTCGTTTTCTCTTTCCTCTCTCTCTCTCTCATTTTTCTCTCTTTCTGTCTTTCTTCCTTTCATTTTTTTTGTTTTTTTTGGCTGCACCTCAAGGCATGTGGGATCTTAATTAACCCTACCAGGGATCAAATCCACACCCCCTGCATTGGAAACATGGAGTCTTAACCACTCGACTGCCAGGAAGCTCCCCTCTCTTTTGTTTTTACATTTTAGATTTTTTTTAAATTGAAATAACATTGGTTTTTAAGATTATGTAAGTTTTACTGTATACAACATTGTTTTCCTACTTCTATATACCATACAGTGTGCTCACAACCAAAAATATAATTTCCATCTGTCACTGTTCATCTGAACTGAGCCCCTTTACCTATTTTGCTCTCCCGACCCCTCAACCCTTCCCCTCTGATAATTGTTACTCTGTTCTCTGCATCTAAGTGTTATTTTGATTGTTTATTCATTTTTGTTTTGTTAATTTGTTTTTAACAAATCAGGAGTGAAATCACATGATATTTGTCTTTCTCCATCTGACTCATTTAAGCATAATTCCCTCATGCTCCATTCATGTTGGCACAAATGGTAAGTTTCATCTATTTTTATGTCAGAGTAGTATTCCATTGTGCATGGGTGTGTGTGTGTGTGTGTGTGTGTGTGTGTAGATGAAACATTTATATCAGTTAATCTGTTGATGGTACCTCACTGTTTCTTTTATTTTTAAAAATATTTAATTTATTTGTTTATGGTTGGGCTCGGTCCTCATTGCACAATTCAGCTTCTGATTGTAGTGGCTTCTCCTGTTGTGGCTCAAGGGCCCTAGAGTGTGGGCTTCAGTAGTTGTAGTATGTGGGCCCAACAGTTGTGGTTCCTGGGCTCTAGAGCACAAGCTCAGTAGTTGTGGCACACAAGCTTAGTTGCTCCAAAGTATGTGGGATCTTCCTGGACCAGGGATCGAACCTGTGTCTCCCGCAGTGGCAGGCAGATTCTTTACCACCGAGCCACCAGGGAAGCCCCGCTGGTTCTCACCATTCCTTAAGTGAACGCGTCTGTGCACCTGTCCTTGCTTTGACTTTTGCTGCTATGTGTTTTTTTTGTGGGTACCTGGTCATTGGGTCATTTCCCATGGTGTCCTGGTAGGATTATTTGCAGGAGCCGTGGTTGAGTGAGGAGCTCCCAGACTGAGGTAAATGGAGGGGGATAGGCTACTTCCTAAGGAGGACTGGGCTTGGAAATGTCCTTTTCATGCAGGCAGAGGTTAAAGATTCTCCAGAAGTATTACTAAGTCTAACTCTGAGCATGGCGGGAGCTTCGAATTCCTCCCTGGACCAATTCTCTCCTCTTACTGGCGAGGGGCGGGGGTGTCCTGAGACTAGCCGGTGAGTGGGAGTGGCTGAGGGTGAGCTGCTAGGGCGGTGGGCCGCAGTTGGGCATCTCCCTGGCCCCACTCCTTTCATCCTATGGTCTTGGAAAGGACCCTGGATGGAGGCAAGAGTCTCAGCTGAGAACCTGGGATCAGGCATGGCCTTTAGCCAGACCTGGGTAGGGACCTTTCTGGGAACAGGCTCCTATAGGAACAGGTTCCTCAATAAACAAAGAATCTTTTAAAGTATTAGTATATCCCAAATATTACATGGGACATGCTTACAGTCAAAAATAATTTGCTGTTGGCCTGAAGTTCAGATTTAACCAGGTATGTTGTATTTTCATTTGTTGGCTGTGACAACTCTATGTCAGGGCCAGGAGGCTGGGGGCTGGTGGAGAAGTAGGGGTGGGGGTGGGAGGGGCGTTAGTCACATTACACCCAAGGACAGCTGCCTCAGGTCCACCCAAGCCAGCTTGTATCTGTTGAGTATTTCCCGGGGCCAGCCTCATGCTGGGAGGAGTGGGAGTGACATGCTCTGGGTCCCACAGCTCTGCCTAGATCCACAGGCTCGTCTCGGTGGGCCTGCATGCAGAAGCGGGTTACTGCACGGAGTCTGGAAACCAGACTGATCAATGGGAGCTCTCCTGCAGATGTGGCCACTGTTTTCCAAAAGTCAAGAGATACCATTGTGATGAATAAAATACACGTTTGTTTAAAGGCAAGGATTACATAACAGCTTTTGGCTCTTAAAGCTTTCTCTCAAGAAAATACCAAAAATGTAATTACTAGGGTAGAGGAACACTTTTGGGATTTTCATACTAGAAAAAAAAAATCTAAGAACTATTAGGACTAAGAACTCTAAGACATGACTTTTCATGGACCATAGACACAGTGGACATCTGCTGAAGCCTATAGACTTTTTCTTGGTGTTTTCAAACATACACAATCAAATCCACAGGTCTACAAAAGAAACCAGTGGTGCAAAAATACAGAGATCAAACCATGAAGGAAAAAACTTTATGAAAGAGTAACAGGTTCTTTACTGACACTTTGGTGGTGGTCATTTAAAAGTAGAGCTGGGTAGATATTTCAAAAGATGGGCAATAATTCCAATGTGATCTCAAAATGATTTCTACTGGTGACAATGTCACAAATACTATATCACAAACACAATGTCACAAATGTCTGCAAATACTACTGTAGATTTCTCCCTGCATTTACAATAAATGCAGGTAAATTTACTGAAATGGTAAATTTCAGTTTGAGGCTTATGCAAATATATATATTTTACTCACCCGAAGTCATGGATCCCTGAATTGTACCCACAAACCTTTTGGGGTAGGGTTCAATGGGCAGTGGGACCTGGACATTCTGGAGACAAGGCCTGAGGGGAGGGCTTTAGGCAATACTGATAACCACTTAAATTAAAAAATATATATATAATTTATACATAATATATATATATATTATATATTTTTAAATAATTATATATATTTATATATTTTTTTAATTTAAGTGGTAGAAGAACTCACACAATACAAACACAAATGCAGGACTTCCTTGGTGGTCCAGTGGTTAAGTATCCAACTTTCAATGCAGGGGACATCCATCCCTGGTCAAGGAACTAAGATCTCACATGTTGCAGAGCAACTAAAAGAGAAACCCATCTTGCAAATACAGAAAAAAAATTCTATTAAAAAATAATAAAACAAACATAAATGCAGACATGAAAGTACCTAGGCAACTTGATAAGTATATTGTCACAGGAATTAGGACTTCAGATAAGGATGTTCAGAGTTCATAAATAATGCCCTCTTGCAGGATGTCAACTCTCACCCCAGTTTGACTGCTTGTTAAAGCCTCAGGCTGAGCTAATCAAGAATATCTGCATTCCAAATATTCGACATTGGAATTAATCTTGAGCTCGCTGTGGATCGAGGCCTTTTATTTTTATTATTATTATTTTCCATTTATTTTTATTAGTTGGAGGCTAATTACTTTACAATATTGTAGTGGTTTTTGCCATACATTGACATGAATCAGCCATGGATTTACATGTGTTCCCCATCCTGATCCCCCCTCCCGCCTCCCTCTCCATCCCATCCCTCTGGGTCGTCCCAGTGCACTAGTCCCGAGCACTTGTCTCATGCATCAACCTGGGCTGGTGATCTCTTTCACCCTTAATAATATACATGTTTCGATGCTGTTCTCTTGAAACATCCCACCCTCGCCTTCTCCCACAGAGTCCAAAAGTCTGTTCTGTACATCTGTGTCTCTTTTTCTGTTTTGCATATAGGGTTATCGTTACCATCTTTCTAAATTCCATATATATGCATTAGTATGCTGTATTGGTCTTTATCTTTCTGGCTTACTTCACTCTGTATAATGGGCTCCAGTCACCCATCTCATTAGAACTGATTCAAATGAGTTATTTTTAATGGCTGAGTAATATTCCATGGTGTATATGTACCACAGCTCCTTATCCATTCGTTTGCTGACGGGCATCTAGGTTGCTTCCATGTCCTGGCTATTATAAACAGTGCTGCGATGAACATTGGGGTGTACGTGTCTCTTTCAGATCTGGTTTCCTTGGTGTGTATGCCCAGAAGTGGGATTGCTGGATCATATGGAAGTTCTATTTCCAGTTTTTAAAGAAATCTCCACACTGTTGAGGCATTTTATTTTTGAATTTTAATTTTTTCCAGGCTTATTGAGATATAATTGACACATAACATTTTGTGTAAGTTTAAGGTGAGCAACAGTGATTTGACAGATGCATACACTGTGAAATAATAATCATAATAAGATTACACAACATCTATCAATCACCTCACATAACTATAATTTTTTTCCTGTGATAAAAATTTTTGAGATCTACTCTCTTAGCAACTTTCAAATATACAACACAGTCATGTTAACTGTAGTCACCCTGCTGTATAATGCATCCCAATAATTTATTAATCTTATAACTGGAAGTTATAAAACTTATAACTGGGAGTTTTACTTTTTGACCACCTTCACTCAGTTCCCCTATCCTCTACCTCTGCCTCTGGTGGCAAAAAAACACCAATTTGTTCTCTTGTTTCTATGAGATCTGTTTTTCCAGATTCCACAACAAGTGAGATTATACTCCTTCTGACTTCTTTCACTAGGTCCTGGTTCTGAAAGGATTATGGGTACATTTGGAATGAGGGGGAGTGAGGCAGGGAGGGTGGGTAGGTCCAGTCTGGTTTTCCCCTGGTGGGGTGGGAATACACAGTAGGTAAGATACAGGGGGTAGGAAACCATAAGGAGGTTTCTGGAATTCTGTGCGTTTTGCCTCCTTTCTTAATTTCCTTTCCCCTCTTCTGAGCTCTCCTCCCACCCAGAACCAGGATCCAATTTTCTCTCCTTTTTCAAAAAACAATTTAATCTCTGGGGATTTTTATGTGGAGGCAAACTAGAGGCTAGTTGTTTCTGCCATTGTAAGAGAAATACATACATACATATATGTATTTATCAAGAGTCTGAAAATAAAAAGTTCATTTGAGACTTCCCTGGTGGTCTAATGGTTAAGATTTTGCTTGCCAATGCAGGGGACACGGGTTCCATCCCTGGTTTGGGAAGGTTCCTCTTGCCTTGGGGCAACCAAGCCCATGTGCCACAACTACTAAGCCTTTGCCCTAGAGCTCACAAGCTGCACCTACTGAGCCCACATGCTGCACCTGTTGAAGCGTGTGTGCCCTTGAGCCCATGCTCGGCAACAAGAGAAGCCACTGCAGTGAGAAGCCCATGTACACAACTAGAGAGTAGCCCCCACTTGTTGCAACTAGAGGAAGCCCATATGTAGCAATGAAGACCCAGCACAGCTAAAATAATAATAATAAAAACGAATCTTAAAAAAAATTCGCTTTGGCATGTGAAGCTTCTTGCATCTCTGGCTACTGGTCACCTGTGCCCTGCCTATAGTGAATATAACCTGGGGCCACACCTGAGGGTTGGTGTCCCTCTGCTACCCCCACCCCACTGGGACCTTTCCAAAACAACCACATGGAGACCCTGGGAAGGGACTAGCACCCTGGGACCCATGGTGGAGGCTAGGAATGCAGATTCCTGGGCCTTCTTCCAGGCTAATGCATTGGATCTCCTGGTTGCCACTGGAGATTCTGCTGTAGACCATCCTGTAGATAATACTACTCTGAGTAACCTTGGCTGGCTGGCCAATGGCCCTGCTTACTCTGCTCAGAGCTGAGGCCTCTCTTTCTGCAGTGCTTTGGAGTCTGGGCTTTGGCAGGAAAATTTCAAGCCCTTGAAAAGCGCCTCCTATTCTTCTCAGTCATTCTGAAGTGGGGTCAGATATGGTGGGGTGGGTGGTGTTCAGTGTGTGACCATGTGCCAGGTACAGAGGGGGTGCAAGGTGACACAAATGATGTGTCAAGGTCTCCTGCCGTGTGTTGTCTCAGCCTCTCCTCCAGTGGTGTAGGAATGATGCTACCTGACCTCATGGACCATCACTCATGGAGACAAAACAGAGAGTCCCATAGACACCCTGGGCCTTCCAACCTAGTGGGATGAGATGTCTCTCATACACCATGGGCCACCTGTGTCTGTGACCCTGGGAGTCAAAAAGCCTTTTCCGCCAAACTTTCTATCCCTACTAGGGTTCACTAGGCTGGCATTTCCCAAACTGTCTTCTGAGCATGTTGTGGAATGTAATAAAATACAGTTGACCCTTGAACAACATGCAGGATTAACAGTGCCAACACTCACACTGTCAAAACTATATGTATAGCTTATAGCTGATCCTGTTTTGGTGGTTGTGCATCTTCAATTCAGTCAACCGATAATTGTGTAGTACTGTATCATTTACTCAGAAAAAAATCAGAGTGTAAGTGGACCCACACAGTTAGAACTCATGTTGTTCATGGGTCAACTATATACTCCCACAAATAGCAAAACTAGCGATATTTTCCTTTAAAATTATTTTGAAAAATTATATGTATGGAAAGTGACAAATATGTGCATACACTTAATATTCTATGATAATCTGCTTTTACAAAATGAGATGCTTTATCCAAAGGTGGCAAGAATTCACATTGGGGCTTGTGTTTGCATGAATGGTGTTGAGATGCTGTGGCCCAGTACTACTCGGAAATGCTGTGCTGGACTGTAAGATCCTTAAGGACAAGAATCAGGACTGGTGTCCCTCATATGTTGGTTGCCTGTTACATTGGAGACTGTGTGACCCAAGGAACCATGCATAATCTGGTCTTCATGCCCCTGTATAGTCCTCTCCCACAGGTGGGTTTGGGCATGTGACTGGCTCTGGACAATGTGCCATCAGAAGCATGATTCAAGCATCGACCTGACAAGTGCTTGCTTCTCCTCTTGAAATGCTCTTGGGGAAGCAAGCCATAAGCTGTAAAAAACAAAAACCAAAACCATGACAGTCTAGAGACTGATGAGACAGCACTTGGAGATGAATGCTCATGAGGTACCAAATAGTTCAGTCGAGTCTTCTTGGACTTTCTAGCCAAGCCCAACTGAATGAGTGGCACAGCTAATGTTGTCTGGAGCAGAAGAACCACCCAGCTGAGCTCTGCCCCAAATCCTGATCCACAAACACATGAAAAAGAATAAACGGTTGCTGTTGCAAGCTAATAAGTTCTGGGATAGCTGGTTATATAGCAATAGATAACTGAGACATTTATAGTAGGTGTGTGAGAAATGAGTGGATGGCAAATCACAGTGCCAGCTTTAGGGTTGATCCTTTTCTTACACTGGCCCTGATACTCATTAAGCTTTGATCACATATACTTTCTCATGTGATTCCTGTGATGGTTAATTTTATGTACCAACTTGACTAAGCCATGGGGTGCCCAGATAATTGGTCAAATACTACTCTGGGTGTTTCTGCAAAGATATTTTTGAATGAGATTAGTATTTAAATTGGTAGACTAATAAAAGTAAATTGTCCTCCTTTGTGTGGGCCTCATTCAATCAGTCAAAGGCCTGACTAGAACAAAATGTTGACCCTTTCTTGAGTAAGAGACAATTCTCCTGCCTGATAGCTTTCAAAGTGAGATGTCGACTGTTCCTGTTTCTATAGCCACCTGCCAGCCTTTGGACTTGAACTGGGACATTGGCTCTGCAGATGTTGGACTTCCAGCCATCATAATTGCAAAAGTCATTTCCTTATAATAAATTTCCCTTTTCATTTTTGTTTATCCTATTCATTTTGTTTCTTTAGAGATCCCTGAATAATACTGATTAGGGTACCAAGCATAGGGTTGCTGCTGTAACACATACTTAAAAATGTGGAAGTGGCTTGTCTCTAAAAAAAAAAATTTATTTATTTAATTTTGGGCTGATCAGGTCTTAGTTTTAGCACGAAGGATCTTTCATTGCAGTGCCTGTACTTCTCTCCAGTTGCGGCTTAGTTGCCCATGGCATGCAGGATCTTAGTTCCCCAACCTGCGTCCCCTCCATTGGAAGGCAGATTCTTAACCACTAGACCACTAGGGGTGTCCCGGAAGTGGCTTTTAAACTGAGTAATCTGTAGAGGCTTGAAGAGTTTTGAGCTGGAAAAATCCTAGATTGCCCTGAAGGGACTATTGGTGGAAATATGAACATTAAAGGTGATTCTGGTGAAGACTTAGAAAGAAAAGTCAAGAGCCACAGAGAAAGCTGTAGAGAATAGACACATCATCTGAAAGAGAATGCTGCTGAACTATGAATAATAAGGCTGCTTCTGATGGGATCTCATGAGGAACATGGAACTGGAAGCTGACAGCAAGGTGATCCTCATTACCGATGAGGAAGGAACTTGTCTCAGTTGTGTTGCAGTGTCTTGTGGAAGGTAGACAATTGTGTGTGACAACCTTGGATATTTAGCAGAGAAAATTTCTAAGCAAAGTATCGAGAAGGTGGCCTGGCTTCTCCTTACTGCTAATAGTAAAATGTGAGAGGAGAGAGATGGTTAAGCAAAAGGAACCAGAATTCAAAGATTTAGAAAATTCTCAGCTTATCATATTTCAAAAAATAAGAAAGCAGCGTTCTGGAGGAAAACATCAAGGGTGTGGATGGATGATCATTCTGTAATGAGATTATCCACGAATTGAATCAGCCATCTCAGCTGAGGCCAGGAATAGAGGTGGGATTATACCTGCAGAATCACTGCCAGCAGGGACTAAAGGGACAGAGAAAAGAGTGGAGGAAGGCTGTCAGATTTTTGGAATCTACAGAGCAGGACAATAGAATAGCCAGCTTCAATATTGCAATCTTTCAAGAAAAGGGGAAAATGACCATGAAGATGATTCAGAGATTATCAGGGCTGCTGCTCCCACTGCAAGGCCCTTCAAAGGATAGGGCCACTTCCTTGGTTTCAGAGGGCCAGGATGCCCTCAGCTAGTGCCTTGGGGGCAAGCCGCCTAGCACAGCGGAGCGGGCAGGACCACTGCCTAGGTCATGGGGTTATGCTCCAGTGGGCACAGAGGGTAAGACATTGAGCTAAAGAGGATCAATCTGGAGACTTAAGATCAACTGGAATTTGCCTTGCTAATTTTGGACTGGCTTGGGACCTGTTACCCCTTTCTTTTTTAAAAATTTCTCCCTTTTGGGATAAGAATGTCTGTTCTATACCTGTTTCACTATTGTGTGTGTGGTTTTTTTAAACGCAACTTATTTTAATTTTTTAAATGCAATTAAAATTTAGAAAAAAATTTTTTTCGGTTGCCCTGGATAGTCCATGGGATCTTAGTTCCCCAACCAGGGGTCAAACTCCTTCCCCCTGCATTGGAAGCTCACAGTCTTAACCACTGGACCACTAGGGAATTCCCCCATCATTGTGTTTTGGAATTCATAACTTGTTTGGTTTCACAGATTCACAGCTGGAGAGAAATTTTACCTGAGGATGAATCATACCTCCAGCCTCACTCATATCTGATTTAGATGACATTTAGTGAGACTTTGGACTTGGAATTGATGCTGGAATGAGTTAAGGCTTTTGGGGCTGTTGGGATGGGGATGAATGCATTTTGTGTGTGAGAAGGATGTGAATTTGGGGGGCCAGAGGGCAGAATGTTACGGAACTGAATTTTTTCCCCAAAATTTACATGTTGAAACCCTAACCAGTGTGACTGTATTTGGAGATGGGGCCTTTAAAAAGGTAATTAATAATTAAGGTTCAATGAGGTGATAAGGGTTGGGCCCTAATCTAACAGTACTGATGTCTTTATAGGAAGAGACACCAGAGATCTCTATCCTCGTGTGCACAGAGAAAAGGCCAAGAAGTTGCATCTGCAAGTTGAGGAAAGAGGTCTCACCAGAAGCCAAACTGGCAGCACCCTGATCCTGGACTTCCAGCCTCCAGAACTATGAGAAGATAAACTTCTACTGTTTAAGCTACTAGTCTGTGATACCTCTGCTTAGGTAGCCTAAGCAGACAAATCAATTCCCCAGAATGATTGATGACGAGGGATTCATACGGACTTGGAGTTTAATTCTAGCATTTACTGATTCAATTACTCTGCCAATATTTAAGTCCTGCTATGAGTCAGACACTGTCAGACACTGGGTTTCAATGGTAAGCAACATGGTCACAGTTCCTGTCCTTGCATAGCCCAAAGTCATGGGAGGGAGATGACCTTCATCAAGTAATTACTCAAATAGGCATAAGATAATAACAGAGATGACTGCTATAAAGGGATGTCCCCTAGACAAGAAGGTCAGGGAAAGTTCTTGGAGAAGTGACACCAGAACTGAGATAGGAAGGTTGATTAAGAGTAAGCCAGGCCAAGAAGGGAAGGACGCGTATTCCTCACAGAAGGAGCAGCATGTGCTCCCACCAAGGAGGGAACTGGAGGGCATTCATGGTACCGATGTTCTAGTGGAGAGAGGAGGGGCAGGGAAGAGGTGGGTCTCTCACACTGGACAAGTCCATGGCAAGACTTCCTCATGTGAGCAGCCGGAAGCCACGGAGCTTCCTGACCTCGGCGCTGACATGGTCAGATTGGCAGTGACCAGCCCCGGGGCTGCCGTGTGGAGGTGGAGCTACGTGGAGGCCAACAGGGAAGCTATTGCAGGGTCCAGGAGAGACGAGCAGGGGATTGGGCCAGGGTGGCGGCAGCAGAGGCGCAGGGAAAGGCTGGACTGGAGAGCTGCTCATTATAATACGATAGAGTAACTGCGCTTTGGTGCTGAAGTGTGTGTAGGAGGTGAGGGTGAAGAAGGAGTTAGGCATATCCAGAGGTCCCTGAGTTGAGCTCTTGGGTGTGGGTTGGTGCCATTCAGTGAGAGAGAGATGGGGAAGACCAAGTCAAGGGGGGGGGGGGGGCGGCCACTTACTGACCTGGTGAACTTGGTAGGCACTTCTAAAACTCTGCGTACCTCAATTCCCTATCTAAGTGCTTTGAGATGATGTTCGGAGAGTCCGGCTCAGAGAAGCTGCTCCTGCATATCAACACCCCCCACCCCCACCCCCCATCTTTCCTTCTGGGTGGTGGTATGGACAGATTCTATTGTTCCCATTTTAAAGATGAGGAAGCTGAGTCTCGGGAAGTCCCATACTGCTGTACTACCAGAGCCAAGCTTAGACAGCGGTAGTCAGAAGCACCTTCCCTCTCTGCCACGCTGCCTTTTGTATCAGCTTGCAGATCTAGAGAGAAGCAATGATTCATTCATCAGCTGCTCAGTCATCCCCACAGGCTGAGTGTGGGGTGGGGAAGAGAGGACAAAGTTCAGGTGGGAAATGCAGTTGGGGGAGGGGACAGAGGAGTGTTGACCAGTCCTTAAAAAGGCAGGAAGTTAAATACCGAGTAGCCAGCCAACTTCCCAAATGAAGGATCCTCTCCAAGTTTATTTTTTATTCACATAAAGTCCAAGATGAGTGCCCTGATTGGCCAGCAGCCTTCCTCCCAGCAGAGGTTCTTTCCATCTTGCAGCTCTGCCATCTCCTAGATCATGAGGCCATGGCTATAGGGAAAAGAGAGGTGGAGGGACACCTGTCTGCTTCTTAACATCCTCAGCCCAGAAGAGAGACAGACTGCCTCTGCTCATGCTCCACCGGCTTGACGGCAGGGGAGCTGGAGCTGGAGTCCAGCTGGGTATCTGGGAAGAGGAGATGAGTTTGGTGACCAGATACCCAATCCTACTACAACAGGTCAGAAAGACCACTTGCTTGATAGGGTGGGGGATGGGGAAGGGGAAGGATGCCCAAGACCTGCAAGAAATTTCCCCAGAATGGGAGAGGACCGGTCCTGGGGTCAGTGGGTTGGAGAAGCCGGGCTCGATTCCAGTACATTGGCTGATGTTTGGCAGGGAGGGTCCTTCTGGTACACTCTCATGGGCCAGGGCCAATGGGAAATCTACCCCAAGTTCCACAAGAGAAGAGGCTGTGAGGAATCAGTGTGCGATGCCTTCACGTATTGTACCTACTGAAGCATCTGTGGCCTGGCAGAAGAGGGGGCATTGTTGTGACCTTTAATTGGATGGTATCAGTGTAGGGAAAGCCTCCTGAGAAGGCACCTTTGAGGTAACACGTGAAGACACTTGACTCATGGGGACGCTTGTGGAAGGGCAAAGGGAACGGCAAGTGCAAAGGCCGTGTGGTAGGAGCAAGCTCACTGCGTGCAGGACCCAAGTGTAATAATCCAGGCCAGAGAGCAGGGTGGTAGCAGTGTGCATGGAGGGTGGGGGGAGGGGGAAAGTGGTTAGCTTCTGGATCCCTCCTTTTCTCACTTCCCTCCTTTCTCAATGTTCCTGATGAGGACACGCTGACTTGGGTCCACTTCTGTGCCCTTTTCCGGACAGAAAACCCCACGACGGCAAGGGCTGGGTGGAAGTTCTCTCTTCAGCCTCACACCTGGCACGGGGAGGGCCCTGGCCGGTCCTGATGAACACGTCTGTGGAGAGAAGGCACGTCCTCCTGAGTCATCAGTTTCCTGGGGCTGAGCCCGGGCCCTGCTTGTCAGCATATTGCTCACTGATCTGGAAAGCTTTCCTGTCGTCTAGACACTCCCATCCCCGTTCTAAAGAGACCTTCTAAAGGAGGTCAGTGTACACAGTCAAAGAGGTGGGGCGCGGAGGAGTCAGGAGGGCGTCGCTGGGACACCTAGTCGGAGGGCAACTACACGGGTTCTGTTTCGTCCCGGAGGTCCCATCTGCTGGGGTCAGCAAGCGACAGGAATCGCCTGTCCCCGGGCGCGACGCCGGCCCAAACCAGCCTGGTCCTGCGCTCCAGAGCGGAGTGTTGGGCTTGCACTGCCGCCTCATTGCGGGCGGAGGGATCCCCAGCAGCCGCTGAGGCGTCTCTTGAGCTTGGTCTCAGGGTCCTTTGCCCACTTTCCCGTGGCAACCCTCGCACAACACCCCGGCCCGTGATATTTACAGACTCTTGGATGCAACTGCCGTTTATAGCCCAGCTGGGCTCTGGACCCCTGAGAGGGCTTCTCAGAGCCCCTGGGCCTTCAGTTCAAAACAGGGCTGCCGGCTTCCGGCTTTCTCCGGGATCACATTCTGAGAGTCACGCGTTTCCTGTGCTCTGATGCCACAACTTAACTGCCTTTTCACTTTCCCCACAGTTTTTATCTCTCCTTCTGTGTGAGGGGTGTGATGGCGCAGCAGTCACACACGTGTGAACTCTGGAATCGGCCAGATTTGAGTGGGCACCATACCTTCTACTCTCGGCTCACTGTGAGAGCCCCGAAGCCCTCTGAGCCTCAGTTTACTCATCTATAAACTGAGGACGATCAGAGCTTGGTTGTGAAGATTAAACTGACGTAGTGACAAAATGCTTAGACCCACAGTGGATGCAGGTTATTATTACTTTTAGTAACAACCCGAAAGAGAGGCCAGGCTATGGGGCAGGCCAGCAATCCTGTCCCTAGTCCTGCTCTGAGCCCTGCTTCCTACTTCCTCCAGCCTCTCAGGCAAGTTCCACTTTAGGTCAGAGCGAAATGAGAAAGCTCTGAGTGTCCTGGGCCCTTGGGGAGACCGAGAACAGCTGAATCCATGAATGATGCCTCTGAAGGTGCCAGGGACGCCAGGCCCCACCCTCACCCAGCGCCAGAGCACTGCCTGCCAGACCCTTGTCAGCGGTTACAACCTCCAACTGCCTCCCGCTGCCCCAGTTTTATCAAAAGCTCAGTTGAGAGAAATAAAGTTCATGGGGGTTATTTAAAGGCCACACATTCCATCCATTCTTCCAGATGAGACTTATCCCTGAAACGACTTGGGCTCTCATGGAGCCAAGCGCCTCTTGGACCACGTTATTTAGCTGCCACAAAATCTTTCTTATGTTCCTCCTTTATGGTGGGGCTTTCTGGAAAAAAGGCAGGAGGAGTCTGCTACTGCATTTATTTTGGGATGCCGTTGTCTCTAGTGGTCACTGCCTCAGCCAGTGCTGGCTATAAGACCTGGGAGCTGAATATATTTCAGGATCCAGTTTCTGGTGAAGCTCTGTATCCTCAGAGGAACTGGTGGGCTTCTGATTATGGGCAATCCAACTCGTGAAACTGGCCCCCATTCTCATTTCATTTGGACTACCAGGAATCTCAGAGCCAAATTTGGGGCTCAGCTTGAAGAATCTTAGAAGGTCTCTGGGCCTGCTATGTAAGGAAGGTGATTTCTTCCCAGATACTGATTGCTAAGAGATGAGATGATTGTAGCAATGATGATGATAATATTGTATGTATCTTGTCAATTGCTTTAGGGCTCTAGGGGGACCAGAGTGGGAATTTCCACCCTGGAAAACAGGGATGGAGAACTGGCCGGGGGGTGGGGGTGGGGGTGGAGAAGGAGGAAGTGACAAGGAGGAGATCGTGCCAGCCGTGGTGTCCGCGGGATGCATCTCTTTCTAGGCCACAGTGGAGGTGGTTAAGGGTCTAATTTAACTGAACCAGAGGGTGTGAAAAGAGGATTTTCCATGAATTTGTGAAGAGAACCACAGCCATTGCTCAACTTCAACTTCTCCCTGTGGCCCACCCCGCCCCCTGCCTTTCTGGGTATTTTTGTCATATTGTGAAACCCCGAAGCTTGCAGTGTCTCCTTTCTCTTCCTCTTCATTCCGCGGCCCAGGCACTCCCACCCACCTTTCCCTTTTTCCTTCTTGGCCCTTCTGCATTTCCCCCCATTCCACCACCCCCTGGGCGCAGGGGTGAGAGCTGGGCTGCCCACTGTGGCTGTGTGCCATCTCTGGGTGACAGCAGAGACCCTCTGGCCTAAAGCCCACAGCTTTGCCGGCTGGAGCAAACATAAGGGCGATGAGGAGTTCAGGCCCCTCAAGGGAACAGTAACAGAGTAGTGACCATTCACTGAACTTGTTACTGTCTGCCAAACATTGAAGAACCATTACCACCACCCTTTTATTGGGTTCATTTTAATGAGTCGTATGCCTCAGCAGCTCATTGTCCCAGCCAGGCCCGTTCATCCATCGGTTTACCCGTCTATCAAGTCCCAGGATTCTCAGTTTCAACACTGCTGACCATTTGTGACCAGATTTGTCTTTGTTGTAGGGGCTGTTCTGGATGTTATAGGATGTCTAGCAGCATCCTTGGTCTCTACCTACTAAATGCCAAATAGCAACCCCTCTCCACCCCATGACTACCAAAAAATTTTCCGGCCTTTGCCATTTTTCCCTTGTTGGGGGGGGCAAAATCATCCCTATTGCCCCAGTCCTCTCTGATAGAACCTCTCTGACATGTTAACAGGTATTTCTTTTGTGTATGATCTTGCAGCTCTGTTAACTGCCTGCTCATATCATTTGCCCAGTTTTCTATTCCGGTTGCCATTTTCTTCTTTTGATTTGCAAAGGGCGGTCCTTGTATATTTTAGATATTGGTCCCATGTTGGTTTGGATCTGTGTTTTCTTCTCTTTTTCTGCTATCCATGTATTAATTCTAACCTTACAGTTGAGGACACAGGGGTACAGAGCTCATGACTCTAGTAAATGGCAGAGCCTGGGACACAAGCCCAGGTCTCTGTCCTCAGAGCCTAGGCACTGGACCTCTGGGGCACAGTGACATCCCTTCCTTCCAAACATGTCTTCACAGGAAAGCAGATAAGACCAGGCACTGAGACCCAGGGAGGGAAGGGAGGTGGCTGGCTCAAGGTCACACAGCTAGCCAACAGCATCACTTGGGTCTCCCTGATATGGTGCCAAGCATATTGGGAGTGGGATTTAGCCTATGCTTTGCTCTAGGAATGGTCAAGTTTGATGGCCAGTGTGTGATGAGAGACCCCGCTGCTGAAGGGCAGAGGTGGTGGAAATCTGAGAGTGCCGGGCGGGGAGGGCTCTTGCTAGCTCGGCCTAGAGGGCAGATGGACCAGTCTGCAGACTCAGAATTGTCAGGTTTCTGGACCTGGGCTTTCTGTATGGGCAGCAGTGCTGTCTGTGCCCAGGGCCCCAGCAGAAGAGTGCTTCTTACTAGGCCCAGGGGGAGACTGATGAAGGGGGAGCAGGGGAACAGCACTGGGGGCTTTGTTCCCTAAATGCCATTCACATGACTCTCTGACCTCAGAGTCCTTCCCCTTTCTCTTGTCTTTTTCTCCTTCACTGCCTTCAGCCCAGTTTCAGTTTCCCTTCTCTATTTTCCTTTTCTTAACCCGCACAAAGCCCTAGGAGGCTGGAGTTGCCCTGGGGCCTCCTGCCTCTTGTGAAGTGGGTTGCCAGTTCTTGCACTGCAGCCTCAGGGCCATCTGCCCCTGGGGGTGCGCAGGAGGCCTTGGGGCCTGTTAGGGAGCAGGCAAGGCCAAGGAGCCAGCATCCAGAGGCTGGTCTTGTACTAGGTGTCCTGCGGGGGTGTGGGGGTAGCAAGCCTCAGTGTCTGACGGCACCCATGGTGCATGCCCTTACCTCATGACAGACAGGCCTCTCTCATCACAGGGCTCATCCCACTGGCCTCAAGTCTTTCTCAGCAGAGAAGGGGCAGATGGGGCACCTTGGGCTTAGAGCGTCATCTTTAGTTTCTAGAATCTTTTCCCACAATGCTTCTGAACCCTATCTGCTCATTCAGAATCACCTAGGTAACTTCCCGAACAGACTGATGAGCAGGCCCCAAGCCAAGACTCTAGTTTCTTTGGTCTGGAGTTTAACCTGGGTTGGGCTTCCCAGGTGGTGCTAGTGGTAAAGGACCCATGTGCCAAAGCAGC